TCTAATGAATTAAACTAGAAAGCTAATCCTAATTATGAATGAAGTGGCTTACCTATTCAAGTAGGAACCCTAAGGTGTTGCTAATGGAAGAATCCTAATTTCTAATCAAACATGGTAGCTTACTCAACTCCTCTTCCTTGGCTAAAAAATGCATTTACTTAAGACAACTATCTCAAGTATCCTAGCTTCACTAATTCAATTCCCTAAGTGCTATTACAAGCCCCCTAGGTAACCTTACTAACTTAGCTCTAAAATTAACCAAGTGTTTAGCTAAAATTCATTCCCAAATACCACTGGCCAAAGCTATACCTAAGTTTAAAACTATGAAAATTCATGCAACTCATCAAGTATTCACCACACAATTACATGCTAGGCTAATACAAGATATTCACCTATTGAAATCACATATTATCATGCAAATTCATAGAGTGGACAAAATTCTAGCAGCACATAGGTCATGAAATTCAACTCAACAATCTTTTTTTAACATTACAAATTAAACAACCATGTAACTAAAGTTAAATTGAACCACAATCAACAATAGTCATAGTATTCTAATGGAATTGAAACAAAATGAAGAAATAGTTAAGCTTAGTCAAGTGAAGCATTCAAAACTCCTCGTCCATCAACTCTCCCCAAGAATTCCATAGGGACTCTAGCTAGAAAACATCAAGAGCACTTTGCTTCCTCCATGAATACAACTAGGCCGTGGCATATGCTCCATGCCTCTTGATAGATTGAGCTTCAAATCTCATTTTAGTTGCATAGGGATGGTTTGACCTTGAGAGAGGAGAAGAATGGTAGAAGAATTGAGTTGATTTGATGGTGAAAAGAGGGAGAAATGGTGGCTGTATGAAATTTTGGTATAGAGAGAAGGAAAGAAAAATAAAGAACAAGATGAACAAGAGAGAGAAAGTGTGGAAGATGAATGAGATGATGATTGATCTGAAAATAGGGTGAATGGATGTGCTCCTAAGTGTTTTCCATTAAGTCTAATTAACAAAAAGGAAATGAAATTAAAATGAAAATGGGAGCCTTGTCACACTTGCAAGGTGGTAACCTCCTATTGGTCAGTAGATGATTCCAATATATGTGTAATTTTCCATATTTCATTCACATTTTCAAGCTAATTTAATCCCCAAATAATGCCTAATTCATTTGCAAACCATCAGCTTTGATCTCAAGGAGTGTTGACCTCAATTGCCCAATTGATCCACAAGTCACATGCCACCTATATCACATAAATCACATAATTCAATTAAATAGCATGTGATATAATAAAATCTAATTAATTTTAAGAATTAAATTCATAATTAGAAGGGATAATTTATTAAATTAACTAATTTCTAGGTTGTACAAAGTTATATAAAAATTTTCACACAAAGGCAAACCGAAAACTAGGTCAAACTAAGACACTTTAGAAAGTATTGACTTTTTATCTAATTACTCTCAAACTAAAATGAATTTTAAAAAAATAATTTCACCACTCATCAAGTGGATATAAAATGAACTTTTTCAAATTTTTTTATACATTTCCTCAAAAGTTCATTTTTTGGACCAAAATGTTCCTAATGTACTAAATCTAGAAACTAAGGCAAAATTTCAAATTTAATGCAATGTGTGTACTTTAAGGTAATAAATTATTAATAAAATGGTCCTAATTGACAAATAAAAGTGGGTAACAAATGTGTTCTACCACACTTTCATAAGGATTAAAGCTCATTTCTACATTCAAAAGCTATGGAGTTTGGCCTTCTCAAGCAATTACTAGGGTTCTTGAATATGATGAAAATTGTCTAATTTCTTTGGTGGAATCTTAGAAAGATGAAGATGGAGGATGAGTCTTAAGATTTAAATTGGCTAATTCTTTTGTTTTCTATGCTATTCTCTTTTACTAAATGGTTAGATTCGTTAATCTAAGGTTTAATCATCTTAACTTGTAAATTCTAATTTTAATTTGATGTTGATGTAAAGAGAGAGGATTGTTTCATTTAATTTCTTCCTTGGACATCCAGGATTGAATTTGGCCACTCTTTTTTTGGCACATAATCTTGTGTTTTTCAATTAGTAAATTACATGTATTAATATTGCATAATCTTGTGATGTTAATGCTTGAGTTGTTGAGTAGCTTGACATAATCTTGTGGTTACTTGATTCCTTGACTTGGCCATGGCATTTGAGGGAGAGTTTTGAGTGATTCCCTTGGCTAATTTTTATACCAATTGGTTAATTAAACTAGAAACTTTAATCTAAGACCTAGAGAAGTTAGCTAATTAGGTTAATTGACTTAGGATAATTTTCTTAAGTCATGACAGCTTTAGTCAAGAGGAAAGGAAAGTTAAACTTAGCCTAATCATAAGATGATGATGAGTCCAAAATCAACTAATCTCTCTAGGGTTTCACTCTTGTGAAAAGGGAGGTTCATTTCACTCAATTTATTTAGCATTTTATTCACTTGCATATTAGGTAATTAGTTTAGATAATTAGGTAACTAAATTCCTATAACTTTGAGTGATCTATTCCACTAGATAGCTTTTAATTAGAGTAAGACTATTCCTTGGAAGATGACCTAGGGTTGACCCTATATTGCATTAGGGTTAACTTTAGCTTAATTTTAAAGATAAGCGACTAAATTCTATTAGTGCATAGCACAAAGCAAGTGACTGTGGCCTCTGTGCCATATGCCATGGTGCATGCGGCATGAGCCACGGCACACGGTGCCAAATTTCACTTTGTTTTCCTGTTTTGCACGTGTATTCTTAGTCCTTGTTGCATAGATTTTGCTTCCACTATGTATGTTAGGTTTTATAACCTAAGTGATTTATAAAATGATTTGAAATCTTTTCATAAGATCCCAAGGCTAATTTTTTCATTTTAAATGATTTTGAAATGATTGTAGTGGAGCATATGGTAATATCAGTAAATGGCATTACACATGTGACTACTGATCAAGCTAGATTAATTTGAGTCCACTTATGGCTCATCTAAGAGGCTTCCATACTTGATAAAAACTCACTAACACTTTCAAAATGGTGATGAAAGGGTGATTAAGAGGATTCTTGGTTGAAATCCTCAGGCCATGTTTGGTATGCAGCATTAAAGGGTTGGGTTTGGCATTAGCATTGAATAAGGCCCAATTTAATGTGTTTAGTACAAAGCATTGGCTCTTACTTGGTTTTGTTGAAACCCACTTAGATGGGATTACACAAACCCACCTCATACCTGGTACTGAAAAATTAAACCTGGGTTTGCAATATTTTATGACAATATTATCCATGGTTATAATATTTTTTAGACAAGAGTGCCCCTGTTGAGTTTTTACCCTGATAAAAGCCATCAGCATCGCAAACCTCAAGTCAGAATGCATCTCCATCGCCGCCACAAGAGACTCGTCCATTGATTTGCCCTGTCGCCATCTCCTTTGCCACGCCTTCATGTACTGTTGCTCCGTCCTTCCCCTTCGTCGATCTTCTTCTTCCATCTTCTTCGTATCTAGCTTTTCCTTTTCCATATTTTGTTTCTTCATCTTTTTTGCTCGGTTAGCTATTGATGCCTCTATTTTTTATTTATTTTCCATTTTTCCAGCTTGTCTTTGTTTGCTATTCTTCATTTTATTTGAGATATCTTCTTTTTCCATCTTCTTCGTAGCTACTTTTCCTTTGATTAAATCTGACGAATACTTTCTGCTCCATTAGCCACCGCTGCACTTACTAATTTTTGGCCCTTTCCCTTCTTTGTAATTGTAAGTTGTAACTTTCTAGGAGCTTTTGTAGCTTCAAGGGACATTGATATCTTCATTTTCTAACTTACAAGGCAGTAAAGAGTCCTGGAAGCCTTTAGGAAGAGTCGAAACACGATATTCCTTCTGTGCTTTGAGTAGAGTGTGACAATGTTTTTTTCGTTTGAAAATTAAATCTCTTGTATCACATATGCTCTGTTTAACTGCCCTAAAATGGCTCCAGATGCAAGTTATTCAAACAATACTTAGATAATTGACTGTCCAAATCAAAATTATATAATGACAAAAAGGAAATTAGAGAAAGCCAGACAAAGAACTATCAAACTGAAAGAACAAAAAAAAGGTAGAATTTGAAAGCATATATATTTTTTTTATTAAACCAGAAAGCCTCAAAATCAGTGACTTGTTTGCCAATTATGATGTGAATATCCAAAGGACAGTATTTTACTATCGATTTGGTAAGTCTTTCAATGCAAAAAGTGATATAATATCTCAAACTCCAAAATGCAAAATAGCATTGCCACAAGGAAACATGCAGATCAACCGTTGCAAAACATATGCATATCAATAAAACTACAAAATATAAGGATATTGCAAGAAAGAGATGTCAATAAAATGTCTGCAAATAATCTAAACCATTACATACTCATTTGATAACACTGTCACATCATCAGAGTTATGTAGTACTATTTACTATTCATTTTCAGCAACTAAAATACATTTATTATAATTTTTTTGAAGAAAGTTATCACTATGATTTATTGTTAACCACTAATTACTTTTATTCAATTATATATGTTAAATATTAATCTTTTATGTATCTGTATAATTGGTACACAGTTATGGCACTATCTGAGGAAAAGAGAATATTATTACGTTTGTTTCTCTTCTGGATGAGCATGACTGAGGTAGTGTATGCGTTTTGTATTTGTATGTGTATGACTATCATGCTAAGGAGACGAAGAATCAGACATATACCTTACAAAATGGATTTTATTGCTAAGAGATCTTACCTAAAGAGAATGATGTCTAGCAGTGATGTAGCATGTTACAATTTACTTAGAATGCATAGATCAATATTTGATAAGTTGTGTTCTATGCTAACGGATGTGGGTGGTCTTAAACCTAGTAAGAACATGCTTGTAGATGAACAAGTTGCCATGTTTTTACACATCATGTGAAGAATAGAGTAATACAACATAACTTTGGTAGATCGGGAGAAACTATTAGTAGGCATTTCAACTCAGTACTTACTAGTATGATGAGACTTGGAGATATGTTCTTGAAGAAACCAGAGCCAGTGGCCGATGAATCTAGCGACGAAAGGTGGAAGTGGTTTAAGGTAAATATACATATTATGTATTTATCATTATTTTTGAAAGTTGTGTGAACAATTTATATTAACTTTTTTCTACTTTTCTATTTTATAGAGTTGTTTAGGCGCCTTGGATGGAACTCACATCAAGTTAAGAGTTCCTTCTCTCAACAAGGCAAGATACCGGAATAGGAAAGGAGAGATAACTACAAATGTGTTGGGTGTTTGCTCACAAGATGGTTTCTTTATATATGTTTTGCCTGGGTGGGAAGGGTCTACAGCAGATGGATAGGTTCTTCGTGATGCCATAAGTAGAAGGAATGGCTTAAGAGTTCCACAAGGTCACTATTACTTGGTTGATGCTGGGTACACCAACTGTGAGGGATTTCTTGCACCGTATAGAGGGCAAAGATACCATTTAAGTGAATGGAGAGAAGGGCGACATCCTAGAAGTGCACAAGAGTGCTTTAATATGAGACACTCTTCTGCACGAAATGTAATTGAACGGTGCTTTGGTATTTTGAAGTTAAGGTGGGCTATACTAACAAGCGCATCATTTTATCCCGTTCGAACACATAACCGAGTTATAATTGCTTATTGCCTCCTCCACAACTTAATTCGTCAAGAAGGTGTAGATCTACTTGAAAATGAAGTTCCAGAAATGGGTGTTGATATGGATGGGATGGAAAACACCCCAATTCAAAACATGGATGCTTCTGATGAATGGGCTACCTTTAGGGATACTCTTGCTAATGAAATATTTACTACTTTTTCTTCTAATAGGACATCTAGATGAATTAGTTATTTCATTTAAACATTATTGTTTGTTTAAATATGTCAATTTTCTTTGTTTCTTTGAATGTGGTGTATGGTATGATAGAACATGTATTATTGTTATGTCCTTAATAATAATATATTGTCATATTATTATATTGTTATTTAACCTCTTCTCAAGTTCTAACATTTTCTTCTTATAGTTGCACAAGCATGTCAAGTAGGTCTGGAAAAACAGACAAGCACATGTGGACACTCGAAGAGGATGAATTGTTAATTCAATCCATGATGGTGCTACATGATAAGGGAGAACTTATATCTGACAATGGTTTAAGGCCACGTGTCTTAAACACTTTGAAGGACATGCTTGATGGTTTGATACCTGAAAGTGGTATTAAGGCCTATCCCCATATTCAGTCAAGAGTCAAGAAGTTAAAAATTAACTATGGTGTGGTTTCTGACCTTCTCAATTTATCTGGTTTTGGTTGGGACCCTGAAAAGAAATGTGTGACAGCTCCCAAGACTGTTTGGGATGAATATGTGAAGGTAAATTGCTGCTATTAGTTTTTAGTATTTCTGCTGTTTATTTATTTTTTCTGGTTTTAATTGCTGTTAGTTTCTGCTGTTTCTGTCTTCTGTTTATTTGTTTTTCTAGTTTTTATTGCTGTTAGTTTCTGCTGTTTCAATTTCTGCTGTTTCTGTCTGCTGTTTATTTATTTTTTCTGGTTTTTATTGCTGTTAGTTTCTGTTGTTTCAATTTCTGCTGTTTCTTTCTGCTGTTTATTTGTTTTTCTGGTTTTTATTGCTGTTAGTTTCTGCTGTTTCAATTTTTGCTGTTTTTGTCTGCTGTTTATTTGTTTTTCTGGTTTTTATTGCTGTTAGTTTCTGCTGTTTCAATTTCTGCTGTTTCTTGCTGTTTATTTATTTTTCTGGTTTTTATTGCTGTTAGTTTCTGCTGTTTCAATTTCTGCTGTTTCTTTCTGCTGTTTATTTGTTTTTCTGGTTTTTATTGCTGTTAGTTTCTGCTGTTTCAATTTTTGCTGTTTCTTTCTGCTGTTTATTTATTTTTCTGGTTTTTATTGCTGTTAGTTTCTGCTGTTTTTGTCTGCTGTTTATTTGTTTTTCTAGTTTTTATTGCTGTTAGTTTCTGCTGTTTCAATTTCTGCTGTTTCTTGCTGTTTATTTTTTTTCTGGTTTTTATTGCTGTTAGTTTCTGCTGTTTCAATTTTTGCTGTTTCTTTCTGCTGTTTATTTGTTTTTCTGGTTTTTATTGCTGTTAGTTTCTGCTGTTTCAATTTCTGCTGTTTTTGTCTGCTGTTTATTTGTTTTTCTGGTTTTTATTGCTGTTAGTTTTTGCTGTTTCAATTTCTGCTGTTTCTTGCTGTTTATTTGTTTTTCTGGTTTTTATTGCTGTTAGTTTTTGCTGTTTAATTTTTGCTGTTTCTTTCTGCTGTTTATTTGTTTTTCTGGTTTTTATTGCTGTTAGTTTCTGCTGTTTCAATTTTTGCTGTTTCTTTCTGCTGTTTATTTATTTTTCTGGTTTTTATTGCTGTTAGTTTTTGCTGTTTCTGCTTTTCCTGCTATTTCTTTTTTTTTTTTCTGTTGCAGGTAAACAAGAAAGCTGCTAAGTGGAGAAACAAGACTTTCCCCCATTATGATGAGCTATCCAATATCTTTGGGAAAGATCGAGCAACTGGAAAGGATGCTCAAACATATGAAGATATTGTTGAAGAGTTTCATGATCAACATGGGTTTACTTCACCCATAGAAGATACTCCTACTGAGCACATTCTAACTGATTCTCAAATGGATGGATCACATGCGAACACTTCACCGCAAGAGAACTCTCCAACTGAGCTGTCCCCTTCTGATGCAACTTTCGGTGCGAAAAAGAGGAAGCGAAACAGCACTGAAGCTCAACCTTCCATGCTTGAAGGCATGAAAATGATTGTTCAAACACTAACTAATGGGTTGAAGGAGTCATCTGAGCATTTTGGCATGCACCTTGATAGAGTTGAACGTGAGAAACGTATTGATGGCATGAGGTCGTCTCTCCTTGTTGAGTTGAAGAAGGTTGAAGGACTTTCCCACCAAGAACGTCTCAAGGCATATGTGAAGATTATTGGTGATGAGAATATACTGATTGGCTTTTATTCCATGCCTGAAGAGGACAAAGCTGATGTGATTCGTGAAATAATAGCATAAGCTAGTATAGATGTCACTTGATATTTTGGTGTATCTTGATTTTTTGGTGATCCTTAGTAAAGTTGCAAGAGGATCCTTCATATGTAATGTCATGTTTAGATGTCTAATTTTTTGTGTAAGATATGGCATATCTTACTTGGGTGCTTGGATATATGAGTAGCACCATTGACTATATTTTGTTTTAAAGTAAGATATGGAGTATCTTGCTTCCTTGACCTTATTAATTATGATATGATAAATGACATCCTTTCTTTCATGTTTTATAGAGCATCTCTTGGAATTTTATATAATAGTAGTACCTTGCTTTAATCAGTTGTACTTTACTTAAAATCGGCCCAACATATGGCAAAATTCTGGAAACCAGTGGATGTAAACATCCAGGTATACTTTTGATGGCCTGGGGAAAATAACAGTAGTTAGGTGAATCTCAAAACCATATATAATCATGGTAAACGATGTTGCCAAGGTCTGAAAATGTGAACTTAGACCATACAGAATATATGGAGCTTAAATGAGTCATAAAAAATAATTAACATAACATGCCAACATCAATAAGAAAACACAGCAGATAATAGCTTCTAAAAAATATAAGCTAGCAAAGTGCACAACAGGCACCAACTTTCACAGGCAGAGGCCTATTACAATTAGAAGTTTAAGTAAAGGCAACTTATAAGAAAAATATAAGCTACCAAAGGACAAATGCGCTCACACATCTATTGTGATTGCCTTCACTGCTGCATAAAGGAAATGTTCTAGAACACCACTGCTTAGCTGTACAATAAATAAGTAAGAAGACCAAAAGAAAGAAATTGGACTATAATAAATTAGAAAAATAACAGTTACCATGGAGGAGAATGTAGCAACTAAAGCAAAAATACGAGCATAAATAAAGGGGTATTCATGAGAACCTACCAAGGCTTGTTGCTCATAAATTGCTAGAAATACAAGAACAAGCTTTTGAATATTTGAATTTGTCCAGAGTTGCAGATGAGCAGAAATACAGTGACAATTTCTGGCCATAAAACTGAACTAAGGTGATATCTTGGGTTCCATCTACACAATCATATGTATGTGTATGCATGCGCACGCATGTGCATTTATGTCTGTGTTGGTGTCCTCAAAATAATGGAAAATCATCAAGTCAAGATTGAGAAGAAGAGGAACAATAGACTTCTTATTAATCAATTAAATGTACATGTACATTTTTACAAGAACTATAACTTGAAGAACCAAAAAGGAAAAGAAAAAGAAGAGGATGAGGAAAAAACTAAACTTGTTTACTAATTTAATCAGCTTCCTACAGTCCAATTCCTGACATAAAAATCATAGCACTTTTCACACAAGTTCTTAACCTATAACAATCCATATTGAACAGCACCAGAATGTCTGTGAGCTGCAACAGCTACTGCTGTGGCACCAACTGCACCAAAGTGAGATTGTGCCTGTAGCAGCTTCACAACTTGTAAGCCTGGTGTTGCTCAATGGTTGAAGCATCAGAACCTTTATTAAAGATTTCAAAATGAGAATCTGATCCATCAACAAGTTCTTCTCCATTACCAACAGAAGACCTCCAGCTTCATGGTTGCTATCAGTGGCTTTAGTCTTCTTGGTTGAATGAGGATCTGGAATGCATAATTGTCTGTTCATCCAGTCTCCCATTGATTTTAAAACAGCAACCAAGCATTTCATGGCCTCAAATTTCAGCGTTGCCTCTTGAGGGGGCAAAAGTGAAGTTGCTACACCAGGTAGGACACCCTGTGTAGTTTTAAGAAGTCCATTAACCATCATACAAGGACCACAACAATTGAATGACAAGCACACCTACACCAGCTAAAATAGTTTCAAAATTGATCGAGGAATGCAATGCTAAAAAATATAATATATAAAGTAAATCAAATTTTGGGAGAAAACCTCACCTCTCAATTATGTTTAATGAAGAAATATCATCTTTTGCTTTCCAGTGCAATGGCAAAGGATATGCATAGTATGGACTGGTTTAGGGCTCTCAGAACAATCATAAGGAAAAAAAACTCCAATTTCTGCTTTTAATCCAGTTCTAAATCTTGATACAAGACTGATGAAAATGGAGCAAGATAACTGGAAAACTATCATAAGAGTTGAAGCACTATTCTTCAATAACAATAAACATAAGCACTGCTAAGACCACGTACATGCATGAAAAGCATCGCCTTCCAAAATGAAACATGTTTTACAAGTTCAAAAAGATATTCAACTCCCAAGTTTCACAAAAACATCCTCATCGCATATGGCAATGTAGATGGTTCAAGAGTTTCAAACCATACCAGGATTTTTCTGCATGACCCTTGAAATATTGCGCTCAACATTTCTCTGAAGTATTGGCAAGACCTCTTTTTGGTCTGTCACTATAACATCACACCATAGCAAAGCCATGCCTGCAAAGTGTAAAAGAAGCACAAATCGAATCATATCAGACATCACCATTCAACCAAAGCAAGGTAGCCAGAACAATTCGAGCCAAGGGATGCAAGTAGGTAGCCTGAATTAATTCAAGGAACAAATTTTTAATTCCTTGATTATAATATTAAAAACCCACCAAATCCAGAAACTCCACAACCAGCCCCAAGTTCAATTACACGTTTTCCTTTAAGCTTAGCTGGGGAAAACTTCCCCTTTCTGCAATTTTTTTCCTGAATCAATGAAAGATGCAATCTGGGAGTTAAAGTCATCTAAATTCAGAGTTATTGCTTGATGCTTTTGCAAAAACAAAATGGCAATACCTGACACGCTCCGAAGGGAAAGCAAAGTAAACCAAAGGCTTCGTTTGAAGGCTTCAAAGCATACCTGAAATTTTTGTCTTGGAGGCGCTTACGAGTTGATGGAGCTGAGAGAAATTAGAACGGCACGAATGAAACCCTTCGCAATATGGAGCTCGATGATTGGAAACGGAAGCCGGAGATCTCTCGAGTTCACCGTCGCAGAAGTTCACCAGCGAGAAGAAAAAATGACAAGATGAAGGGGCGATGACGTTTTTATTGGGTTTTTATTTTTTGTTTTTATTATTTTAAAGGGTATTTTTGTCTTTTTATAATTTATATTTAATTAAAAAATAAAATGAAATAAGGTATTTCTTGAAAATATTCCTATATACCAAACATAATTTTAAAACCTTATACCCAATCTCAATCCCAATCCCAATACCAATCCCAATCCCAATCCCAATCCCTCAAAATTGAAACCTGCGTACCAAACAGGGCCTCAGGGTTTACGGTTATTAAAAGCTATTTGAATCAACTCTTACACATATGTCACTATAAGGTCTTCTTGCTTTATAGTTTGTCTTATAATTCAATATTTTAGCCATTTAATCTTTATTCAAATCCTTGTTTGCACCTACAATTATACACACAAGAGTGATCAAAGCATGTATACAAAATTTCAAATCAAAACTCAAAACCAATTGTAAGATACAATGCCATTTCTAAGTTCCTAAGTTATAAAACATAACAATTTAGTATTAATGTCTTTATCTTGAAAAGTCTTATGACTTATGTCTTTTGATGTCTCTTTATAACCTAGAATGAATTTAAATCTCAAACTTGTTACAATGATCTTAGGAAGACAAAATACACAAACTAAGCTAATGTCCCAAAATTGCCTAAAAATTGTCAAAATGATCAAAATACCCCTAGGTTATGAATGAACCTTGATTGATTCTAAAGGCCTAAAAATGCAAGTATGCATGAATTAAGCTTCTAAGAATGCAATAATGCAAGAATATCATTCTAAAATATATGCAAATAATGCAATGTCATTAGGCTAAGATTTCCACAAAACTGATACAAATACATTAGTTAGTATATGCTCATGCATTCCTATAGCAACATAAATCAATAAACATTTATAACATGATCAATTCATTACACAAACTCTTATAGCATAGAGGTAGCACCACTATGCCTATCATAAGTCTTTCCTTTTACCCTGCTTACTATCAGAACCTATAAAAATGTAACCACGGTGTGAGCTAAACATCTCAATAACAGAATAATTCACATCTATCAATTAATTAGTATAATTGCAAACAAGTAAAGCTTATATAATATATATATCTATTTTCCATCAAATCATTATTACACACTAACATGATTAATCTACCATCCAAACCTCTATATCACCCTAACTGAAACCATAGGCTCTACTAGACCAATCATACACACACACACACACACACACACACAGAGATATGAGCAAACCTACAGTGATAGAATCACCGAATCAAAGGTGTTCTATCCCACTTTTAAACTATGGTTTTTTCTATAACACACACAATTAGGGTGTCATTATTCTAAGACCACATCATACTGATGCTTAAGAGCCTAAATTTCCAACACCATACCAGTTGGGCACTCAAGAGAGAGTCTCCAACACAGTACCTAAATAGGTACTCAGGAGAAGAATTCTCCAACACCGTACCCCATTGGGCTCTCAAGAAAATAAATGTTATATGGTCTTTCACTACTCCTCCCCACGAATGAACTTTCACTCCTAACATGTTCATGCTCACACTTTTCAAATATAAACCACATGTTGGTAGTTTAAGCCACATATATACATATACCTTTGTAATTCCAATTCTTTAAAATTATTTTCATAATAATACCTGTTATTCAATGAATTCTAGTTCATTTTATGCCAATTTCAAAAACACTTATGTTATATTACATAATTACTCATAAATAGTTAAACAAGTTAATCAAACAAAGTGAATTATTCAGTTACCTTAACCTTTCTATCATTAGAAAGGTTACATGTGGTATTCTCTTTAGCACTTAACATCACAACTCGCTTCCACTACTCTAATTGTGTAACCCTCCCCTTATACCCTCATGATATAAGGAGAGGATTAACATAATCACTACACAATTTACAAACCATAATATAAATACTCTATTTGAAAACCTTAGGCCCGAGACTTATTTTGAAAATTATTAAAAATTCTCAACCAATTTAATACAAAA